TTAGTCGAACGATGTTACCTATAGTTTCATCAGATTTATGAGCCTTTGAACCTTCAAACATGAGTCTCTGAAGCTTCACTGTCATGAATTTCTTCATTTTCGGTAGAAACTTGGGAGTTGGTTTTGCAAATTCTTTGAGGTACCGCCTAGTCTGGGAATTTTGACTTGCATTGCGATGGAAGTAATGAATATAGAGGTGGTCGAGGTTTATCGCTAAGTGGGGTTGTTAACCCGATAGAGAATAAAGGGTTCGTACCTCAAAAGATAATTTAGCTTTCTTGGTCCTTGGTTTCTTGGGCAAGAGAAAACTTTCGTGTTTTCCTTTTGTTTTTCCTCTTGAAGATGCAAAGACCAAGTAGTAGGAGTTTTCATGAGTGCCTTTAAAGGTCTTCAATCCAAAGTTGCAGGGATTTTCATGAAATCCTTTAATTTTGGAGCATCAAATCCAGAGCGGGATTGGGACCAAATTAATAATCTTTGGATTGCTTTGGTCGGGAAGTAGGCTCAAAATCCTGTGCATAACCGGATGTTAAAATAGGAAGTGAATTCAAAAGCGTGAAATGATGAGCCTAATGGAGTTACCTCACTATCGGAAGCAAAGTCAGGCTGCAAGTTTTTGCATAAAGGATGAACTGATATATTGAAGATATGAGCATGCCATTCTTGCCACCAAGAGACAAAGAAGGGATGAGCAACATCTATTAGCCCAAATGGAGATGGTTCGATGTTGGCAATTCCCATTCTAATTCAAAGATTTTCTTGGCTTCCATTCTTTCTCATTATTACTTCCCTTGGCTTCATGATTGTTGAGAAGAGGAATTTTGGGGGCAGCTGGCCACATCCTAATTGTCTGACCACCATATTTGGATAGTAGAATTCATAGGTGGACTGCACTAACCTCCCATGATGAAATTCGGCTGGCAGAGTGCAAGGTTTGATAAAGGAGTTGAAGATCTTCGTGGATTCTTGACCTGAACAACCAATTTTATAGCTGAACTTGCAGGGCAAAGTCAAATTTTCATTTTCTTTGTAAGGGAACCAGAGTACATTGCCGAATCCTTTGAAAAATAGCTTGAAGAAATGGCCAATGTCTATGTCAATGCTGATAGATGATGCTGCTTCCCCATAAGTCTGACAAGCCTTAACCTTTGCTGTACTACCTTCAACATAGTTAACTGAAGGAAAACTTAGATTGAGGAGGCTCACAGAGGTTATCTCGATGCATATATAGTGGAGCCACATTTGAATTAGCCACCGGGACCATTCACACAAGAGATTTCTCCACCTTGGCGCGATCTCAAGAGTAATCTGATGCATCATATGATAAATGTAGACCCTAAGAGATATTTGCCTAGTGGGATCCGAGTGCACTGCAGCTAAGCCCTCAGCCATCACCATGTGATTCGTGGTTGGTTCATTGGATTTTCCACAAAAGATGAATCAAGATAGCCACATATTCATGAAAGCTTTCAACTCTTTATCGAGAGCGGTGCGATGATGCATTCATGTAGTTCGGATGTGTTTGACCCATCCACATCCGTAGTGACGGCTCTTTGATTACTTTTGCTCTTGTACTTATAGGGGTATATCGGTAGTGACACGCCAAGCCGGTCATCATGAACACGTCGGCTAGAGTGATGGTCATCATACCATGACCAAAGATGAAGGCATTAATGGTGTCGGACAAAAATGGGAAGTCGCTATCAAGAGAGAATCGTTTACGGGTGTTTCGCTAAGGATAATTCCAAACAATGACCGATGTCTTGACTTTCCCAATGGGCTGCTTTGCTTTTCTCTAGCATTCTCCTGTACCAATTCGCCATCCGTGATTGGGGGAAATGGCCAATTCTTGAACGTGTTTGGCCATCGGTTTGCGGTGATCCCAGTTTGAAGGGGATTCTTTGGGTTTTCTTCTCGATAATCTCGGAAGGGTCGGGATTTCCCATTGGGCCGAGGAAATAGGAATCGAGGTTGGCGACATAGGGATCAAAATCGGTTCTTGTATTCCTTTAGAAGGTGATTGAAATCAAAGAGGAATAAGCCAAAAGAGGAACGGGAGGATCAAATGAAAATTGCCAATATAAGTAAAGTTTACCTCAGGATTTCATCCTGGGTCGCCATTGAAGATTTGAAGTAGGTCCGAGGTTGCTTGTTTGAAAACTTGAATTTTTGGGCAGCGGTACGCGGTGTTGAACGGTCTTGACCTAGAAAGAAGAAGGAGCTTGTGGTCAATTTCGAATAAAAACAACTTTTATCCCGAAATTGAGGGGGCATGTGTTAACACTTTGGATTTTGGTCGATTCTCGAGGATGATGGGTGGACCCGCATGCGGGGAAGAAGGGTATTCAGAGACAAAACAAGCGGTCGGCTAAATGCTTGTGCGGCTCGGTTACTCTGTATATGCGGTGACTCCATTCGGAAAGCGAAAGATGGCGAGCAAGGCCGATCGAAAAGATGAAAGTTGTAATAATAAAGGACTCGAGAGTTTAGGGTAAGGAATCGTAAGTTTCCAAGTTTGTTTAGAAGTTCCTTTGTAAATCGTAGTCTTCTAGGACTCGTGTTTTGTCTAGGGTATAAATATTGACCCTCGACCATTGTAATAGAGGTTCACAACCAAATCAATACAACCGCCCCGTGCCAACTTTCGAGTCCTTTTGTCGTGTCGTCGAGTTCTTCGAGAGGAGTCATCGATCCGTCGACCTCCGTAAGTTCCGGCAACCTTGTTATCATGTTTAGTATCATGCGGTGGATTTAGACGTGATGCAAGTAGTCTTGTTTGTTTTCAATGATCGTGCTGGCGGATCTTTGCTTGACAATCAAGAAGTCTTTGCTTATGCTTTGTTATTGAGTAGATACCGCGTGCAGCGTTTTGCTCAATATGCTTAGTGAAAGCAAGACAGCTTATCGGCTCTATTAGATACGGCAAAATCTAAATAGATTCATTAAGTTATCCTGTGTTGCATGTTTTAAATATTTCATATATTTGTAACACACTTTTTTTGCCCAATCTAGATTGACATTATTCGCCATCTCTTGTGGTTTTATTCGTGCTTCAATGATCATTCTTGTCATATTACCTCTGCAAATAGATAACATGCTCATAATGGTGAATTATTTTAATTTAGATTGTTATATGTTGTGGGTTCATGCATGATAATTACGTTTAAGTTTTGACGGAACTAGGTGTCGTCTGCGGCGATGCACGAGTTTTAGATTAGTTTAATCGTGTTTATTTGCACGTTCCTTCTTCATGGATCCCAACTCGGTTGGATTGCTGAGCTTGGTTATGCATTAATTCATAATTAATTTCACTTGTTCAAACATGTCTTCCCATGCACATGCATTCGGTAATCGGATCTTTGCGTGTGTTCATCTTACGATTAGCCGAATGGTTTATAAACTTGTTGGCAGACAACTTCCTATAGTTGTATGTCGTTGTAAGTGGCTTCAGGGCCATATATATGGAACTGTCTGGTCTCACCTGACATGTTCCGGTCTGGCATTTAACTGTTTTATCCCTTGTTAGTTCTTTCAGGTCAAACTGACTGGCACGCTTCCGGGTCACGAAGCACCCGGAAACCCGATTGAAGCCACGCTTTCCGGCTTGCTGTGTGTGAGGCACAGTGCATCACATTTTGTGTCAACAATTTCTGTTTTCAATCTCACTCTGTTATGTCCCAAAAATGCTGTATTTCCGTTAGTGATAATGGAAATGGGGTTACCTCTGGTTAAAAAAAAGTGGATTTTGCGAGAGAAAACAAGCCTGTCTTTTTACAGCAATTTGTCACCTGTTCACTTGTGTTTGTCTGTCTGTCTGAGTTTTCTTGAGGCATGGGCTCAAGTGTTTTGGCCGATTCCTTTTCCTGATTGTCTGGCCGTTCGTAGTCCCAGATTTCAAGATCTTTTGCGAGTACAGTCAGTAGATGCGAATATCATCTGCAAGATCACAATTCACAGAGGCAGTCCAGTCCAGTCCCTCTCCTAGCATTAAAATGTACTGGTACCTAGCGCGCGGTAGTCACAGTAGCACTGGGCAATGGCATGGCAGCAGCAGTCACAGAAAGAGAGTACTGAGGAGCAGCGATCCAGCGGCTGCAGCCTGCAGTCCTTCCTGCCCTGCCCTGAGCTGCTGAGATGCCCTCTCCTTCCCTCCATCTCCATGAGCTGAGCAGCCTGAGCTGATGAAGTGAAGTGAGTTGGCTGCCAGCGCGTGCTGTATCTTGTATGGCTGTACTGTATCCCCTCCTCTCGCTAACCTTTTGTCTCCTTCCCCTCCCAAACCACCACCTCCACCCCTCCCACTACTTCTTCTGAGCTCCTTGCTGCTGCGGCTGCTTGGTGCTTGCTTCCCTCATCTCTAGCCTGTACACTGGTTGGAGTGGTTGCCAGTCTTCTCCCCCACTTGCTCCTCTCAATCCACTCTCCCATGGCCATGGGTGTGCAACCATACATCTACCGCTGATTGCTTGCTTCTTCTCGCGTGGCCTGGCTTGGGGAAAAGCTTCTGGTTCGCCGCTGCCGCTGCTGCGGTATAAAGGTGGAGGGCTGAGCCGTCCTTCGACGGAGTCCCGGCGGAGGGAAGATTGCTCCGTCGCCGCGGTTTCGCGGCGAAGAAGGTGGCCTACGCGGCGCCGCTGTGTCGTATCGCGGTGGAAAGGGAAGGGGGCGGGGCGGGGCCGTGAAGGAATCTTGCCCCGACACCATTCCCTCCGCTGCCCCTCGATTTCCGGGCGGTTGTCGGTGCTGCCTTTCGCAAGTAAAAGCGGGATCTCGCATCCGCCGGCGGTGGCATTGCCGGATCGAGCAATTTCCGACGGCGGCCTGCGTGTCTGCGTGGCTGATCTGCGCGCGGCTGGTCATCTCTTCACCGGCATTGCGAGGCGGGCTCGCGGGGCGGTGCGGACTGCTGCGGTGAGGAGCGGTGCTCTGCTCTGTGATCCAAGCGGCGGGTGGCTGCAGGCCAGGTGTTCGACGAAGGACCCCGACCGGGCCAGGCAGCCATGAGGGACTTCCCTTCCTGCTTCGGCGAGAGCGGCGTCCAGATCGCGGACGCGTCGTCGTCTTCTTCCAGCGCCGGCAAGGGCGCGGCGCAGAACCTGGTGACCAGCCTCTACCAGACGCAGTTCTCGGGCCGGCCCTGCGTGATCTCGCTCACGTGGAGCAAGAGCCTCATGGGGCAGGGCCTCAGCATCGGCGTCGACGACCTGTCCGGCCACTGCCTCTGCAAGGCGGACATCAAGCCGTGGCTCTTCTCCAAGAAGAAGGGGTCCAAGAGCCTCGACGTCGAGGACGGCAAGATCGAGATCTTCTGGGACCTGTCGGGCGCCAAGTTCGGCGCCGGGCCAGAACCGGTGGAGGGGTTCTATGTTGCGGTGGTGTTCGACCTTGAGCTCGTGCTCTTGCTCGGCGACATGAAGAAGGATGCGTACAAGAAGACTGGAGCCAACCGATCGATGCTGAATGCCGCGTTCGTGGCGAGGAGGGAGCACATATATGGGAAGAAGATCTACTCCGCTAAGGCGCAATTCTGCGACAATGGCCAGTTCCATGACATTGCCATAGAGTGCGATACCGTCGGCTTGAAGGATCCATGTCTTGAAATAAGAGTTGATAAGAAGCCCGTGATGCAGGTGAAGCGACTGGCGTGGAAGTTTAGGGGAAATCAGACAATTCTCGTTGATGGCTTGCCTGTGGAGGTGTTCTGGGATGTTCACAGTTGGCTCTTTGGATCAACGGCAAGCAACGCGGTGTTCATGTTTCAGACATGCCAGGCACCTGAGAAGTCGCTGCCATGGTCCTATTCGCAGATTTTTAGGGAGTCCCAGTTGCAAGGTCTTGGTTTCTCGCTGATCCTGCATGCGTGGAAGGTTGAATAGGTTTTTTTGCAGGATCACAATTTGCTTCTGCACCTGCCTCCTTTTCTTTAGTGCTAACAAAAGACGTTTTGTTGAGTGTCTGTTCATCAGAATGCTATGGAGGCTCTCCAATATATGTTCTTTCATTTTATTTTGTTTTTGTTTTGCCATCTCTTATAAACGCTTTGTTTGGATAGTTGGCAAGTTATGTGATATCCCAGTGGCTTTTGCCACTGTTCCTTCTCACCCTTCTTCTGCCTTGAGTGAGGATAATTCCGATGATCAAATAGTTCAATCGGTGTCCATGCCAAAGAAAGAGAATGTTGTCATTATGTAAAGTATATCAAAGCTCTGATTATTTGTTGGTGATAGTAACGTCCAACAGCTTGAGTTCTGTCTGTTCTCCGTTTGTTTGTCTTGTGATCACTCCCAATTGCCACTGAATAGCAAATTATAGAATACATCTTAATATAGCTTTGAACTGAACCTGTGAAAAAGTTGGGAGTTTTAAGGAATAAAGATACGTGAAGACGTGGGCATCAAGGTTTGTAACACTGATAACTGCCTTTTTGTGCTTATCTGTGGGCACCTGAATGTGCCTATGTTCTGTAAGAGCCTGATCATTCTGATGAGTATCCTGAAGTTGAGATAAAACAACTTGGTCTAACTGTCTAAGTGATTCTTTCGTGGCTTCCTTTTGTGTAATATTGAGTTATTTTCAGCTCCTATACAGTTTATTTGTTGTGATAAATAGCGTTCAACAAAACATTGAATTGCTTCTTGTTCTCCTGTGTATAAACTGTCATCTAGTTCAGCTGTTATTGAATAGAAATTTTTTAGAGTACATCTCAATATAACTTTGAACCAGTGGAAAAGTTCGAAGTGGAGTTTTAAGGAATCAGGACACGTGAATACGTGAGAATCAAGGTTTTGTAACACTGGTAGCTGCCCCTTTTTGTGCTTGCCTGTGGGCACCTGAATGTGCCTGTCTTCTGCAGCAAGCTGATCATCCTGATGAGGATTCTGAAGTCCAGATGAAGCAACTCTAGTCAACGGGAATTCTGTTCAGTTTTGTGAATACTTTTAATACTCAAAAGAGATTGTTTTGTGCATTTTTGGATTGTTTTTAGCATTTTTCTTCTGGTTTTAATCACACCTTCTGTTTGCCGACTTTGCCCACCCAATAAGTGCAGGTCTAGTGCTTTTCATACGAGATCGTATTGGCGCTGAGAATGGACCATGAAACTTAACAGCTTTTCCAACTGATGGACCACTTCAGCTCTGATGTTGAAAAATTAATAAAATGAATGAGGCATTATCTTTGAGCCGGCAACAATAAATTGAACCTCTCCAGCCACCAATTTTTTCTTCACTGATAAGAAGAACACTTCATATTTCATCACTTGAATGTTCAGTATTTCTTAATTTTCCCATTTTCTGTTAGCGTTTCCCTTTCAGCTTAAGATTGCCAAATATCATCATCACCTCCATACAGGAATTCATTGAAACTGCTGAGCAAGTCGTGGGTTCTGAAAATGGATGAGCAATATTAAACGAAGAAAACCATGGGTTAACAGTCTTCTAGGTGGGCAGTGATGTTCATCGAATTGTTTTTATATGGGTATGGGATGCCATAGCGGAAAACCCTCATACATTGACAACCTCATAAAACTCTCCAATTGCAGCTCAATGAAATTTCTTGTCATAAATTTTTTTGCAAAGCTGCCTTGCTGTTGTGCTGTCTGTATCAGACTTAAATTCTTCACTAATTTTTCTCTCTCTTTCTTTGCCCTCTTTTCTAGTGTTGGGGCTGCCAAGAATTTATTATTTTTCCTTTCCATTAAAGTGGCCAGACCAGGATTTGATCCTTGATTACTTCACTCTTTAAAATTTCAAGCAGAACCTCCCTGCAGAAATCAATGTAAGCGTCCTCTCCATACAGAAAGTTTTGGGTGTCTCATTAAGCCAGTTGATGCTTGGTTTTCTTTAATAAACAGTGCCACTACTCATTTGTGTTGTGTTAGTGCATACCCATTCATTACACCAATTTAGTATGGGCGCAACTTGATTAGTTGCCTTGCCTAATCTTTGAAGCTTATGCAATGTGGCGTTTCTGATAAGTGCAGACAAATGCATGGCCGCCTCTGGATGGTGACCTTTGAGAAGAACCTCACAACTGATGGTAGTTATTGTCTACTGATTGCTACCTTGATTGTGAGTTTCTTTTCCTGTCAAAGTTAGTACTATTTGACTGCAACGCGAACTTTTTAGTACAAGCAATTGTTCTTTATTCTCTGTACCAGCGAGTTTTGGCCGTATGGACGCCAAGGTAATAGTGTTGTACTAGTACTACTGTAGAAATGTCAGACGCTAACATCGGTATACAGTATACCAATTTTTTTAGAACACTTATATAGTATACTACTTCCTCGGTCCCAAAAAGAATATAAATCTTGCTTCACGAGGAGTCCAAAATTCTTAAGTATGACTAAATTTATAGAAGATATTATCTACATTTAGATCTCCAAATATGTTTATTGTGAGAACAGATTTTATGACTAATCTAATAATACTTATTACACATCATAAACATCAATGCTTCTTTATATATATATTTGATCAAATTAAGAATCTTCGACTTACTGAGAAGCGAGATTTACATTTGAGACCGGAGGAAGTACTATACTAGATCTCTAGAATGCTGCCAGGTCCAAGGCCTTAAAGAAGACGGCCCATCTGCAGGCCCACGAGGATGAAACCGACATTCTCTTCTCTTGCTTTCAACGAGATGCCTCCTCGACTGTCACTGTGTCGCTCATATGCTCAACTAGCAGATGCCTGTGCGCACCCGTTCTGGTTCTAGGCGTAGCTTCCTCCTGAGTTTGAGCAGAGCACGCCATCTTCCCGCCTGAAGTCTTCATCGTCGCTTCAGCATCATCAGAGGTAACAACCGGGGGTGTAGAGCCTAAAGGGGTGTGTGTGTGGCGGTGTTGCTTGGGGATCAAACCGATTTCTTCAGCTATACGCATCTTCTTTCTCACGTACTCATAGTATGTCCTTGTTTCCAAAACTGAATGAATTTAGCTTCCACATCAGCAAAATAAAGTAAATTTTGAACGTGCATTAAAAGCCAGAACAGAGGTACATCTAACATCTCGGAAAGGAAAAGAAGCCACTGACATTTTCTACAAGGGACAATTGTCTGGCGGACATCCAAAGTGATGATCATTTGCTGGTGGACACCTCGTTTTGAGCAGTTTGCCAAAAGACACTTTGGTTCGTTGAAATTGAACCACAGGACACCATGGCCCGATTTCAGCCAGTTGACAAGAGAGAAAATTTAGTTTTGGACATCCGGTGCCCCTAAGCTACACTTGGGTCCCCCCCCACCCTGGTCTGGTTGGACCCCATAAGAAAAGAAAACCTCTCTCCCTCCATGGGCCGAATCTGGCCGGCCCATTCCTCTCCCGCGCTCGCCCAGCGGTCCAGACCCAGCCGCAGTCGGCTTGCGCCGCGCCTCCCTCTCTCTGACGTGTAGTCCCCACCTGTCAGGACCATCTCCCAGCTCCGGTCGTCCCTAACCTCCGCCATCACCGGCTCCCGCGCGACTGAGCCTGCCGCGAGGACCACACCCCTCCCCTTCCCTGCTCCACCACGTCCGCTCCTCCCCACTCCACCGCGACATGCTCTCCGCGCGGTTCTGTATCGCAGCCGTCATGGGCGGCATATGACCGAGCTCCCCCACCACTCATTCCTCCCCCTCTTTAACCTATTCAAGGAAAGCCCCGGCCCCGTGTAAGCACACCGCCACCACCCCACTGCTTCCCACTCCGTCTCCCATCCCGCAGCGCCTCCCACCACCGCCGCCGCCGCCATTGGCGAGCGCACATCCGAGCTCTCGCTCTCCCACTATGTAGGCCCACGCTCGCCTTGATGTTGCTGCTCTCGGCCTCGCGGAAGAACACCGCACCCGTTGCAACCCTCTTTGACGCCAATCCGTGGCCTTTGTGGGGTGCTATGAGCTCGCCGAAGCACTTCACCGCCATCCATCCGCCTCTCCGCGACGTCTCCCCTCTCGGTGCCACTCCCATCGACCAGATACCCTCCATCAGCTTCGCAGTGAGCTCCTGAGTCCAACGTACTTGATATCATCGTCTCTCATGCTCCGTAGCCTAAGATCGGGTTGCGCTGGCGAGGATTCACCGCCAGCGACCATGGCGCCGCCGCACTCTTCTCACCCTCTGGCGTACCCCTTCACTCTGGGCGCGGTCCACGGAGCTCGTCAGAGCAGGGGACCACCACCCACTGGGAGGACGAGTAGGGGAACACCACCGATGGGGAGGAGCAGTAGAGTACCGACGGGGAGGAGCAGCAGAGTACCGGCGGGGGCGGTGACAGGAACCAGCGTGAGGCTGGCTCAGGCCTGGCCTGAGAAAAACTGTCGGTTCTTACGTGGTCCAACCAAACCAGGTTGGGGGCGTGGACCCAATTGTGGCTCAGGGGCACCAGATGTCCAAAACTAAATTTTCTCTCTCCTCAACCGGCTGAAACCAGGCAGCGGTGTCCTGTGGCCTAATTTCAACGAACTAGAGTGTCTTTTGGCAAACTGCTCAAAACGGAGTGTCCGCCAGCAAATGACCATCACTTTGGATGTCCGCCAGACAATTTTCCCTTTCTACAATGGTGTCCATGACCAACTGATGAACATCACCATCTTGAGCCTACAACAAGTTGCTTTAGTGTGGAGAAACATTCCCATTAGACATTGATCTCATGTAAATGAAGGTTACCTTTTCAACAATGCGATCCAAATAGGGTTTATACTGGGCCAAGAACATATGAAAGAATTAGATAGGTGATAAAATAGTTTTGGGGGTGGGAGAAGGGCGGGGTGGGTGTTGGGCCCATGATCTCCTGCACGGGTAAGCCGACCGGTCACTGGGTGAGCCGACCGGTCACCGGCGTTTTCGCACACACACTATGGCTGGAGGTAGAAAAGGGAGGGAGAACAGAGTGCGCAT